CTCTATGACATATTAAAGTTAAAAAAAAATTACAAAAAAAAAATACATGTTTAAAAATATTGCAATTTTGATTAAAAAAATTTGAATGATTGAATTTGACACTTTTAAAGCTTAAAGTTTATATATATCTTCATGTTAAAATTAATTCATGTCAAGAGAGTTGTTGACTATGTTGACAATAGATATGCATTAGGGTTCACATATGTGCAATGTTGATTACTTGGTATGATGACACCTAGCTTGTTGACTTGAACACTTCACCACTATTATTTCAATGATGTAACTACAATGATATTGCTTGTGTTTTTTTCTGTATGCTTGTATTTTTGAATCTTGCAATTCATAACAAATGAATTGATATCAAAGTGGAAGTTCAACAAGAAAGCATGAGTTTGGCGAGTAAAAAGATATGAAGTTGTGATATGTGATATGAAGTTGTGATATGTGAAACAACGCAAAGCAGTTTTTTTACATTGTTTGTTTGAAATTTATTTATTTATTTATGATTTTTATGAAATAGAAAAGATAAGTAATGTACACCACACGCATATCAACACAAAGTAAGATACGTGGTTCATATAATATTGGGCTACCTCCACAGAAACAAAAAAATATTTATTCCAAAAGATTAACACATGTGTTTTCTTCTTCAATCTCGTCCTTTTGTATATATACTTGAGTTACAATTTTCCAAATCCTAAACCCAAAAGGATATATAGAGCGGCAGCTAACTCTGGTCTTATTTGAGACTTGATTTACTCCTAACAATCTCTCCCTTAACTCATGTCGAGGAAAAAAATATATTTTTAATCTATATAATTTCTCTACAAAAAATACTAGAAGGAAACTTAATTAAAGTCCAATCTTTAAGCTGAAACTAATTAGAACAAAATAGTAGCCAAAAATAGAATGGAAAAAAAAACATATAGAGTTAATCAAAATGCTAATGTAATCAATTTGTGCTCATCATGCAAAACTTGCATAGTAGTACAATGTCTCTTGAAACTCTTTAAAGAAATAACCTTGGTCAATGCATCAACCGTCTACAGTCTATCTTGACTAGCTCAATCATTCTATCACAGATTGATTGTCTGATAAAGTCATATCTAAATGCATTTTGATTAACTCAATCATTTTATCACAAATTGATTGTTTGATAAAGTGATATTGGAGCCTATCTTGACTAACTCAATCATTCTATCACAGATTGATCGTCGGATAAGTGATATCTAATATCTATGTGATTCACTCTACGGTTCATCATTTGATTTGCAACAAGAAGTAAAGCACTCTCGCTATCATCATGAAGATTAACAATACTTTGTCCTAATTCCATATTAATGATAAGCTTATCTCACCAGATAGCTTCCTTTGCATATTTTATTGTTACTACATACTTAGCTTCTGTTGTGTATTGAGCACGCACTTTTGCAATACAGATCTTCAACTAATGCATCCATCACCAAGTGTAAACACATATCATGTTGTAGATTTTTTTTTGTTCATATCTTGTACATAGTCAACATTAACACAGCTTAACAAAGATTTGAACTTGTATAATAAACCGTCAAACAAATCTGTTGTACCATAATCTTTAGTACTTTTTAAATACATGCGAATCCATTTCACTACTTTCTAGTGAATCTTCATTGGATTTAACATGTAATGTGAACTTTGAGCTAACTTCCACTTAGGTATACATAAGATGGTTTTTTGATAACTCATCATGAATCTAAAAACTAGTATTCTTCAATATGCCAGTGTTCCAAAAATACTCTCACACAAACTCTTCACTTATCATTCAATTTCAAATAATCATTGATATTCAAAAGTATAATGAAACTCAAACTTATGTTGATAAACAAGTACTCACACAATGAACTCTTCGTTCTTTCTTGAGAACCTTTTCTCTATCTCTCTATATGTATTATTTAAGAAATTAATATAACATCAAATGATTATTATCTTTTGACTTACTTTTACTAGGATAAACATGATATTTTTGACTAGTTTCCAATACGTGATTACATGTCAATGACCTAACTAAATCTTCTAGAAGTTTCATAAGTCATAAATTGAGATGACGACATGACATTTGTAACTTTCAAAATTTTAAAACATACTTTTTTCACTAAATTGACTTTAGACCTAGTCAAATCAATTTAAATTATTCATGTAGTCTATTTCTTTTCTAATCTAGATTTTTGCAAGAGTTAAAATAAAAATGCTCACTTAAATTTTCTAAAACTTACCTAATTATACTTACTTATATTAAGTTTAACTAAGTTATGACTAAGTTTAGCTAAGATATTTATACTTAGCTATCATTAAGTATAGATAATTTAGCTAAACCTTATCATAACTAGCTAGACTTAGATATAACTAAGACGTTTATGATCAACTTATTCGCTAATTCTAACACTATTTCACACATATAACAACATGTCTTATAGTACCTACTCACTTTGTACATCACTAGAGCAATATTATTCCTTGTGCACACGCTCAAATACATGAAATTGTCTACAATTTGATCATTTGAAACAAATGACATAATTTTCTTTCTCAATGGCATTGGTTGGACATTGATTTGGGGAAAATTTGAAATGTGCTACTAACAGAGTCCAAGCCTCTTCAACATCTACCTTGTTGAACCAGTCAAGTAGATGTTGAATGTACTTGCCTTAGACTTTTTCATCCAATTCCTATGAATGTCCATTATTAATTTATTCTTGTATTCACTCAAACTCTTCATTGTAAATGAAGATTTCAACTGATTCTTACATTTATCAACGTTGGATTGGTTCCTTGCAAGTATGAGCATGTCATTCACTCGGAGTACTAGAATAATAAGATTGACAAATTTATTATTCAACTTATTCATGTATACACAAGGATCATACACACTCCGTGGAAAACCTTGTGACTTCATGAACTCATATAATCTTGCATTACACTTAATAAGAGCTTGCTTCTATACATATAATGATTTCAACAATTTACAAACCAGTTTCTTGGGTAATCTTGGGTTGGATACATTTGCAAAAAAGATGAAATTTACACACTACTTATTTGAATCTTCTATGAGATAATTGAAATATTTTACACCTTATTGTAAATTAGTTGATAGATATTGGAATGAAGCACATTGAAGTAAAATGTTATGTTTTTAAAATTTTTTGAATATAGTGATAGTTAGTAAAATTTACATATAAATTGAATCATATATTATAGACTAGAATGAACTATTATACAGAAACTGCTATTTTTTCCGAACAAATATGTCTTGATTTTAGTTAATGTTGGTTTATATGATTACCCAACTGTAATTTACATTCAAAAAATTTGATAGAGTGTATATATGCATGACAAATATCATAAATTATCATACGTGAATGAATATATAGTTGGTTTAAGATTAATTAAAGTCTTGGATATCTTTAATTAATTTTATTGTATCTAATTAGAGTAAGAGAACAATTGTTATTGATGATAACAAAGGTTCTCTTGATATGAATTCATGCTTAGAATAAAGTCTGTGTGATTTGTGAATGAGGACTCCATGAAATAATTATGTTCTTATTTCAAATTTCTTTTGCCATAAATCGTTTTTTTATTGTGTCGTTCAATGCAAAAATAATATTGTGTGCAATACACAAGACGAATGTTAACATTTTCCATATGTTTAAAAATTTATGTGAAAAATGAGTAAGTTTGAGTTAATTTTTATCCAAGTTTATCATACAATGACAAATAAAATTTTCAAATGATATTTTTCATGTCGGGTTAGTGACATTTTATCATTCTATAATATGTATAGTGGTTGTTATTTATATAGAATATATTGATTTCGAATGAAATTTTTTTCTTGGTTTCTCATATTTTTAAAACTTTGAATTGTAAACGTCCAGGAGGGCGAAGACAATTTTGGGATTTCATTTATATTGGATATACTACAACATAAAAAGCATACTCTAATCCATGAAGCGCCACGTCGACGAAGATCCTGGTGAGTAGTCTGACCGCTCTATCCACGCCACTGCATCACAGATTACTCGAATATAGTCACCTGACTGCATAATATGGTTCCTCGAGTATAGTAACCTGTAGATAGAAGCCTAAGACGCCCCGGGCGTGGACATATAGGACAAATCTAAATTATATCATGTAGAATACACGAAACGAAGTTGTTTTTCTTTTTAAAGCTTCGAAATTTTTGTTTTTAGAGTAAATTTTTGGGATATATATCGTGTGCGACTAGCCATTTCCGGAAAATGAAAATTTATATGAAAGTGGAAACAGTTAACTTTCAATTTTATTTAACCATAAAATCTTAGTAATGTGCCATAATCAACTATAACATTATCCATGATACTATCCACCTACATAATGATTTGTGGTAGTATAATATTTATTCTCCAATTTAGCAAATTAGGACATTCAATTTTATTTTGATATCAACATTGCATGAGAAGAACCGTATCTAGTTAAACCACACCACATCACTACACAGGGAAAACATGAGACAAATCAAAACTCGTAATCACATTATTGACGGACAAGAAGCTAATCATAGTTGTCTTCAAGGTTGGAGATGAAGAGAGTATTAGCAAACATATTTCATCTGAAGGATATATCTATGGTTCTTCTCACAACTAGTGCAAGTTGTTGATGACTATACTTGAAACTTTTTAACGAACAATTTGTTGAATGTTTGCTAATAATGTTTTCACAATGATGACTTTTCTACATTACTTTGATTGCATCTTAGTTCTACTTGGCGTTTGCAACGAAAGTGTGCAAATGCAAAATTTCGATGCATGTTGAAGGTTGTGGACATTCTCTGCTACATATCCCGATTGGGAAAAAACGTCCACAATCATTTTCTCAGCATCAACAATCCTGGCATACGCTTTACATGCGAATTTCTTCATTTGCACTGTCTATTTTAGTGAACAAACTATCATGAGCACACCATTTCCCTTTCTCCTCCTCTCATTCAGAAGAAATTGATTTTCTTTTATATCCAAAGTTTATTAAAACTATGACAATGTTTAAGCTATTCATACGTCTTTCAGATTTACAACCACTTCTATATTTCTATTCCAAAGTAGTTCATAAGCCGTGGCTTATGAATCAAGGTATTGCATGAGAACAAATCACTACCTTCCCATAATCAAGTATACTTCAATTTTGAAACATAAATCAGTTCCCTAAAATGTGGTGCCACTTTATAATCTCAAAGCTAAAACATTTTTTTTCCAATTTCTACTCTTCTGATAAATATCCCTTTTCTCCGAAACACGAACATCCCATACCACCCGTCAATGCATGAGATTGGAGTGCAAAGGTGACATTCTAAATCCGTACAAATTCCAAATTCGGAGCTGTGGACATGGCATTCCGAAATAGGTCAAAAGCCAACATATTTAAGAAAACGACGGCATCAATCGATCGATCGGACAGTAAATCAGCCAAACTAAGCCATCTGCTTGGCTCGTCCTGATGATTCTTTAGCCAGCTGCACAAGTTCTTTCACAACACGCTTCAGATTGCCCTGGTTCTTGAACATGAGACGCCGGTTGACGCCAGCGTCGGTGAAACCCTGACACACAGCAAATACCAAATGTCAGTTTTCGCTTCAAGCGTTATGGGACTGGTCACAACATACTCAAGATTGACATGCCGGCATAAGCTCGATGACTGAAGTGGACTAAAACTCACCATATCTTCCAGTTCCTCAAATGCAGGGGCCCAATCGTCAACGGCGCACAGCGCATCGACTGATTTGCGGAGATCGAATGCATTGGCCTTCAAAAGTTCGAGGTTCAGCTGTCTGTCGCTGAATCCCATAGCTTCTAGTCGTCCCAGTAGAGGGTTGTATACAGCCATCGCGACTTCCCCGGTGTCGACTGGAGCTTTACCGTTCTTACGCTCCTCAGGCAGCACGGGAGCAGAAACTTCATCAGGAATGTTCGCAATTATTCCATTTGAAACGTCATCGACGGGTCTATTTTCTTCCGCTGCTGCGGGTTCCACCGTAGGAGTGGAGGCTTCCGTCTTCTCTTCTTCAGTTAACCCAGAGGGCATTTCAATCATCTGAATGTGGGGCGACTCATCTCCGTTGTTATTTACATCTACTTTCACGAAAGTTTCTTCAATACTCTTCATCGACTCAAGGCTTTCAGTCTGTTCGGTAGCCACCACTTCAGCAGCAATTTCTTCCGCTTTTGCAGGCGCAGAAGATGAAAGTTTCTCAAACGTCACTTCAGGAATATCAACTTTTTCTTCCTCATCATTCTCACCAACATCAACTTGTGCAGGCTCCTTCAAAGTATCCACGGAAACAACCTGTACAGCAAAGAGACATTCCCATCTCAACTTCTCTTCGAAACATCTTCCAAGCAATTTATGTTCTGAACAGACCTTCAAGCGAAATTTAAGAATTGAGTTATGTTATACCTGAATCTGTACCCAAATCTTGTGTCCGAATTTGGGTCCCCATGGTGTGGAGAGGCGCCAGTTCGAGTGATATCGCCCGATCTGCTGTGGTGCAACGCAATCGACTGACACTTCGATCTCTTCTTCAGGTGCCAATCCCTGCTCACCTAGCTGTAAAACCAATATTCAGAGTCTCAGAATCTTCCTCTTGGACTAGCATGCTGAGGAAAATTAAGACATCGAGAATATAGCAAATCCGAAACTTCATACCCAAACGAAATAACAAAAATCGATGTAAAACTATCCAAGCCAACTCACCTGGAGTGGTGTAATGGTCTCTGATCCGAGATTATCACCATCAACATTCACGAGCTTCGTCTGAGAGGGCCAAGGGGCGGTGCCGCTGTTACGCAGGCGCCAAATTTTGGTGAAATGAGTTCCAGGTGCGAGCTCGGTGCCGTCAAAAATAGACACATCACAAACGAAACGGGCATCCAACCAACCGCCCTGGTAATCTTGAGAAGTACGCCCTCCGCCATGGGGACCTCTAAACATACCACCGCGACCATGAGGACCATGAGGACCGTGAGGACCCATGTGACCATGAGGTCCCATGTGACCATGAGGTCCCATTCCTCCATGACAACCTGGCCCCATGGGACCAAAATGTTCCATTCCTGAGTGACCGATCGGACCAATACCACCTTCTACAGGACCCATAGCAGGGCACATGTTCTGCAAGGACAGAAGAAAAACATCAGAATCTCAACTTTTAACACCCCAATCGCACCTCCTGACCGCAATTCTGAAAACACAACGAAAATCTGACCTTCTCTTAAATGGCCTAAAGAACTGGCTATACCAAGAGAATAATTCCGAAAAACTCACCATTCTACCATTTCGTGAAAAGCGGAATCTCGGACGAACTGGGGCACGATGGAAGATTACGTAATTCTTATCGGTCTCTCCAGATTTCTTGTAACATTCACTGCAGAGATCATAATTTTCCTTTCTGCGAACGAAGAAACAGATATGTCAGAGAAAGAACAAGGTCTGTGACCATCCCCGGCGAAATTGAAGGCTCTGGTTCTACGAAAGGAAAAGCACAGTTCTGATTCAGGGTTACAGGTTTGAGTTGCATACACTAGTGATTTGTATCGAGTTCCCTTAATAGGAGCGTCGTTGCAACCATCACAGCGCACACCGAAGTGCACAGAAATTAAGCCTTCCTGATTGCCTTCTTCCCCATAAGACCAAGACCTAGAGGGAGGGTGCTGAGGTGGGCGAGGTTTGTTGCCTTGACCAGAGGGGCAACCAGGTGGTGTGGAGGGAGGGTGCTGAGGTGGGCTAGGTTTGTTGCCTTGACCAGAGGGGTAGGAGGTTGCAGTTCCACCGTTCCGACGCACCACCGGAATGTGAGAAATTACAGTTTTGTAAAATTGCTCCAACAACTCGGGGATCTGAGAAGCATCTTTCAAGAGAGGTTCACAATCCTGTAAAATTTTCTTCATGTTTTCAGGATGCAAATTCTGTAGAAAGTCTTTGAAAGGCACATCCAGCCCTTCAAGTGGCGTCCCAGTGCTTGCATCTGGAACCACGACGACCTTCAAGCGCAGGGGATTGAGAGCCTGAAAAACGCAGGCGTCTTTCAGATCCTGGTCGCTATCCATCGTGACGACATCGTTATCCTTGTCCTTGTACGTCACTTTCAGCCGTGCGGAAGATGCAGAAATTTTGAATAGCTCACGAATGGACGATTCCAAATCCGCGAAAGATAAACCGCCCTCTTCACCAGGCCGCTTCTCAAACGTGAGGCGACGGAGTGTGTCCGCGTGCTCGACCTGTAAAGATTCCAACAATTAGAAAACAAAAAAATTCACTCATGCTCCCCGTCATCGTTCTCGTCCGAGAAGCAGAATTACCAGCGTTCTCAACAAAAGTGCGTTTCTTTAACGAACTGACCCTGGACCACACACCATACAACCTATAATTGACCGAATTGACGAGTGAAATCTAGCAATTTCAGAACGCACCTTGATCACGTAAGCCATCGTATCGATCTCTGTTATCTTCAAACAAATCTTCCTCAACCTGTGATTATAACTTCCTCAGCCTATGACCGAGATCTTGAACCCTGAAAAGAGCTTATTCGCACGCAGGCGGAATCAACTCCTCTAACGACGAACGTTGCTGTGAGTCGCGCAGGACTCAATTGTAATCTCTAAACGAAAGGAGTAGCAGACGCGTTCCTGTGATCCGCGTGTGTGTCCGAGGGGGAGAGTGCCAAAGTCGGATGATGGGATGCTGGAGAGAGCCGAGGCCAATATATAGAGCGCCATCTCGGAGCCTCAGACCACGACGTGCAGGTGGGGGTGCCTTTGCCTTCACTCCAGCTTCGTCCGGTCAACTGGTCCTGTCGGACTGGATGATCCGCTTGGTTCCCCGGCCACTCCACCTTTCTTACCGGCAGAGTCCAGACACTTCCCGGCTCATCATTCGCACTCTTTGGACGCACGACACCGGAAGCTAGAGCGGAACTTGCCGCTTCCCCCAACAGTCCTCCAACCAATTTCCACCACTCTGCACCCGCCGCTAACGTTGCCGCCGCTGTTTACTTCGGGCTCAATCTATGGGCATTACACGGGTCATCGAGCATCTCAGCCTGCGGATGAAGATAAGTGACTCTTCATGATTCTCTCACGTCAGACTTGTGTACATGTGAAGCGAGGTCTCGTTCATCTAATGTTTTCTGCTACTGTGGATTCGTGGATATTGTATTCTAACCAGTACTCTTGTGGCACTATGACTATCCACCATGCTCGGCGAAATGCGATTCGGTTGGTGCTGGACCTTTCAAGTCTCGGATCGAGAAAGGCAACACCTTTCATTCTGAAGTCTCCATAGTGTGTCATGCTGCACACATCACTCTCCTTTTGAAGTATTTGTCTTTGATCTCGGAGAAACGTGCAGCTCTTACAAAATTCCGTTCCCAGCAAGGAATTAAAATCATGAAGCCCCACTTTCTGCTCATGAGTCCCATTCATAAAGCCATTGAATGATTGGTCGTTCCGGATTCGCACTTTGTCCACTTCTACTCTTTCGAAGTCTGTTTATTCTTTATGCTTAGTCCAGACGGAGCTTCGCTTTCCGGAGACAATTAGAGACAGAACGGAGTATCATTGTGCTATCATGGTACTCAGTCTCGGAGATGATATATCTTGTGATATTCAGCTGTGTAACAAAGAGACATCTTGAATTTGTTTGTATAAACTTCGCTTACATCTCTAATACTGTCTCTATTATAGTTTTCAAATATGCCTTTCCTGAAGGAACACCAGCTATGGAGTACTTAACATCTCTTTGCTTATTCATAAAGAAGACAACTTAGTAAATTATGTAAGAGAAACCGATGGGTTCGAAATGCAGCATTTGGGGGCACAAAAAATCATTTTTAGTATTTGTGCAGTCAGTGGTAATATTTTCCTATGGTACATTCCACCCGGAAGCTTGTGCTGTTACAATCCCGTTCTGTGAAGGAAACCGGTTCACGAGCTTCCTCCCCTAAATTGTGCAATTACGTTGCTTGATCTGATTTCATCTTATTCTATTTTTGGCCATAACTACAGAGTATGATTACCACATCCAGAATCCAGGAAACCTGCGCGCATGGTCTTCTTCCTAGTGGTATAAGAGGCACGAGCACGCTAGTTCTCGTCATATCCAGGCGCTTTTAACGGCACCCTTAGATATGTGCGCGGTTGTCCGGTGGAATAGAATTGTGTACTGGTGAAAGAGTTGAATTTCGGTACACATCGGGTAGCTTCCTCGAACTATACTGTGAAGCATAACTAGCCACAGACTGGGTACTGAGCATTATTAAAAGGGGGAATATTATTCTCCTTCAGAAGTTAATCAATTTAATTAGAACTATCCAAGAGTTATCTATCTTTTTAGTGCTAACTTGAATCTTATATGACGGCAAATATTACAATCCTTCAAAAGATAATTTTTTTGAACCCATTGATTTTCAGTGTGTTTCTTTGTATGCTCTTTCAATGTATGAAAATATCTTAGTTTGGTAGTTATGGAATGCTACTTGCAATTGCTCATAGTTTACATTGTGATATTTGAAACCTTCTGAATCGGGTCTAGAGAGTCATTAATTGATATAGCAAATGCCATTACCATTGCAAGTACTATTACAAGGTCAGTAATAATAATATTCCGATGAGAAATATAACTTATGTGTGTAAGATATTTATATTTTCATGTAAAGTAAACTTCAAATACATTTGATATATTGTATAAAATTCCTGATTTCTAAAAACATCAATTACCTCATTTGAAACTAGGGAATTATTTATTTTAGTTCTCATAGTAGTAGTGATCAGACCAGTCTAGTCACTATTTCTTGTTTTGTTTTGATGTTCTGTTGAATAGCTTGTGCTATCCACATTGCCACTTTCATAAATTACAGTATTCGGAACTCATTCATTGAAATATAGTATAAAGTAAAGGAAGTACCTGATGGAACCTCCCGAAGATCTTCTCGGGAACACAAATATCTGGGTATTACTATGCATCACGTAGATAGTACATGTGAATACAAGACTCCCCTGCATATCGTGCCTCTTGATCCCAATACCTACAGAACGGGCCATGATGGGGTTAAGGAGCGGGTGCACGGTACATGCACTGTACGTACGTTCGATTGCAGAGACGGCGGTTACATCCCATGGGAAAAACACCAGTTAAGTGTTGTTCTTAAACTGAACCTACCCCATCTTCTCATGGAATCTAAGGGGAAGCATTGACCAATACTCTAAGAATTAACTAAATCTGAAGCAAGACTTTGCAAGCGTTTTAAGCTCCAAGATCATTCTCAGCTGTAGATTATCCATGGAGACAAAGAACATGATGTCGTATCCTTGTGTGTCCTTGACAAGCGACCGATACGAGGATCGAATGCTGTTCTTCTTCAAGTGGGTTTTCAACGCCAGGATGGTAGAAGCCATTCCCCACGAACTGAGGCAGCAGGGTTTCCTTCGGCTCAGACAGCAGAGTCTGCGGATAAACCGACAGAGTCTGCGACTTCTGTGAAGGCATATGTGGAGAACTTTCATCCGACTTTGGTTCGAGGACAAATTCCTTTGTCCTCCGGACCAATTTTATCACTCAGTTCGGGATCGGTGGACAGTGAAATGAAGCACGTGGCTGCGAGCGCAGCCCATCAATTGTTTCCTTGCAAACGAACCAATTTTATCACTCCGTTCGATACACTGAGCCAGTGACTCCAAAGATTCAATTCGGAATTTAAAAGAAGAAATCGCAAACTATGTTCGGTGCTTTAAAAATTAAGATGATTATGATAATAGTGATGGAGGGTTGAGACTTGGGTTTGGTCTTCAATCACTCCATTTGAGCTGGCCCCTCTATCCTTTTATACTTTAGTGACTTGCAACTTCCTTTCATCTCAAAAAAATTCTGCTTGAAAATTCCATGTTTGTTTTTGTTTTTGGATCAAGTTTCATTAATTTTCAAACGGTTGGAATTATCTTTCGAATATCATTCTGAAGGTTCATTTGTTAGTATCAACTCACATCGTTTTAGTAACCGGGAACACCCCAGTTGTAGATTTTTAGGTTTTTAGTTTTGGGCTACATAGAAAGTGCCGAATCTTTTTCTAATGCTCTCCGTAAATCATACAAGAATCAAGCTGAATGATATAATTGGGCACAGACACCGTTTCTCTGAGTTGGACATTGTACCAATCAGATCTGGTTGATGATATGACAAAAACAACAAAAATTTGTAAATTCTCTTCAATTAGGCCAAATGCATAGGGAATATCCCAAGGATTTTGTCCACAACTATTTTTAATATATCCTTCCTATCCATATCTTTGATTATAAGACTCCATTGAAAGTTGTTAATTTCTTTTGTATCTATTATCCTTTGTACTTGACCTAGAGACACATGATTTTTTTTAAAAAGATAGAATTAATTTTGTCAATTAAATTTGAACTATGTAACTTGAATGTATCCTGATAATACATATTTCTTGACAATTTGACTTTTTCTTTGTATCTAAAGCTTAATTTTCATCAATCTATTCCATGTGTACTAAGTCTTTTCAAATTTAGCAAAGTGATTTTTAATCACATGCTTGCAAGTAGCTTCCATGAAGTTCAATGTTCCTTGAGTCCTCCCACATTTTCATTCATGTACTTCCAAGGTTCTTACACAACATGCACTTTTTAAGCAACGTACTCTCTTCCTCTATATTTACCTACAATCTAATCATATGAGCTTCATATGGGGTATCCTACACGTATCTAAAAAAGGTGACAGTGAGGACACTAACATCTCGTGAGATGTGCTGAAGAAAATATCTCTTTTTGGATTATCTCTGGCAAACATCTGCCCACTACTACTAGTACATCTTGACATTTGGCAAAGAATGTCAAGAATGTACTATTTATGCATATTTTTTTCATCATTATCTCCACCATTTCCTGTCACATATACGTTTGACCATCAACCATCATGATTTGATTCCCACAATGGTTTGACCAAGTTGTGGTACAGATGAACAATTCATGAGCATTTCTCTTATTGACGGAGTGGGTTCTGTAGAAAGCGGCAAGAGTAATCGTATTGCAATTCAAACTCCGCAAGAAACAAACACAAAGTTTTGCATGGATTAGAAACTTCACCAAACATAGAGTACTATATGCGTCGTGTCATATTTCCCGAAACTTGTGTAGTGACACCAGATAAGAATACGTGTTATCCAAGTGTGGCCGACATGATTTGTTGTCTTTTTTCATGAAATGTAATGAAGACAATAGGGTAAGTTGAGTCACCTGAGAACTGAAGGTATGCTGTAAAGATTTTGACAGATTTTGTTCAGCGATTCAGTGTACTTTGCCTCTGCAGAGCAGCTCTGATATTTTCAAAGGAGAAATTTAAGAAATAAATGAATATTTATTTCGATAATTCATGAGAATATATCACGATCTATTTATACGCAGCTCAACACATTGATACTATACATGCATGCAGGAATCAAGCATGCACAATTTAAATATTCCTCATGCCGATCTACAATGCAGTCAAGTCGATGCAATGTAGCGCAAGATATGCAGTTGTGCGTATGATTCAAGCTTGGTAGCAAGAATGGTCTCGTCTCACCGACACCGCGCCATGAAACTTATGGCAGTACCTTCGTGCTTAAGAAAGAAAGAAGCTCTTACGCCTTGCCTTCGGCAGGGTAAGAGCTTCATCAGCAAGATGGAATATCATACGAGGAATCAAAGAGTCAAAATTCCCTGGCTGGACTAAAGTTGACACGTCAATAGACTCGGGAAAGGTTGGTGTTTTATGTTGACAACACTTCGAAGACAGAAGACTTCAGTCGAAGTAAATTCTTGCTGGGAATAGCCTTGTCGGCGTACATGTGTATGTATCAAACGGTTGGTCAAACGGGTAAAACTTCAATGCAGTTAGCTTCAATCGAGACTCGACGACGTCGGTGTCACTCGGTTGTTATGCTCTCAGCAGCTTTGAAGCTTTGAAGCTTTGAAGCTGAAGCTGAAGCCTTCAAGCAATGTCCAGTTCTTATGTATCTGATATGGAGCCCGCATGCAATGCTGTTGTCTTTGTGTACTTTTGGATTTTCTCAAGAACCGGTGTTCCAACAAATCTGCTCTTTGAAGTATCTAGACTTGCGTGGACAACAAGTTACTTCCTATGCACAGTCTTTCTCATCCTGCTGATTTTCTGTCGGACAGGTTTTCCGCGAAAAAATCAATACCTAAACCTTCCAAAAATTCTTCGTAAGTTCCAGGATTTCCCACACGAATCAAAATGAAAGCACTACATGAAACTGGAAAATATCATGGAAAATATCTGACGGCTTGCTAATTCTCATGTACCTTACCTCATGGACTCAAGGACTCACCGACCCACAAACACACAAGCTCGAATTATGAGGAAAATGGAAACAGAAGCATTACGATTAAACCGAAGAAGAGGAAACCTTTGCGACCAAATCCCTCCCACGTGCGCGCTGCTGCGTTATGGCCTGATAAGCCAGGATCTTATTACGCCGCAACCTCGTCAGCTGACATTGCCAGCTGTTGGTGAGGATCGATCTTGGACCCGAAGATACTTGACGTGTCTCCAGACGAGCCAGCAAGATTCCGAGGGTGGGTCTCAGCTGCTAATTTGGCATGAACTTTACCTGCAGAGAAAATTACAGAGATCAATTATTCTCGAGTTTGTCTTTTCCGTCGAACCCAACGAGTTTCCATAAACCCTGAGTCCCAGACTTGAGGAGCGGGACGATTTGTCCGGTAAGATAGAGGCTCTATTACAGTAATAGAGGCAAAGGGTTGTAGAAAGCACCGGGAAAGGATCCCCTGAGGTTTACTTGTAGTGAGGGAAATTACTGACGGCCGGGATGACGGCCCTATGCCCGCGAGACGAAGGTCACATGCGTACCCGTCATATAAATTCAGCTCGTGCATCCCCTCCATTTATCAGTGGCTCTCTCTCTCCCTCTTCGTTGCTTGTTCATTGCTCATTGATCAGCGCGGCTCACGGGAACGCGCGGTCTCTTCTGCCTTCTACTATTCGGACTTCAACTTCGTGTTGACAGTCAGTATCTCGATCAGTGCGGCTTACTGGTACGCAGAGCGATCTCGAGTTCACTGCAGAAATGACTCACGTCATCAAGGTAAGCGCTGTTTCGTTTGTTCTGCATGTATCTGTACAGTTGCAGCTTACGAGAGCTGGATTGTGTATCGTATGGTCGTAGTGAGACGGACGCCGAGGTCAAAGATGTTCCGAACTGGAGTTCAATGTTGTCCCAGATAGATCAGCTTGTGCTCTCGATTTCTCGGAATTTTCTTTCTATTATTTTTTGTCATTCCGGGTACTGCAAGTGAATGAGCTCATGGAACCAATTTGCTTCATCCGCAGCAGAAGTGTGGGAAATTGCAATTCGTTGCTCAATAAGCTCCCGTCGTCTCCTCTTTTTGCTGGATGCCCTTCTGACTTGACAGGGCGATCATCTCTTTGAGAATCGAATTAGGGGTGTGAGAATTTCCAGCAGCATTGGGAGAAGCTTGTGCTGCATGATTTCGTCCCGCAATTAGTTCTTGGATTGGGATCGATCTCGCTGTAGTATGGATTTGGTTATCTATTCACCGCGCTCGGTGCAATGAGTGCTTTAGCATATTTACGAGATGTCGCTATCTCAACTCAACTGACACCATGCGTTCCTAATTTTTGTCATCAGGTCGAATTTGAAGGAATTCTTCGTCGGTTACCCTACAACATTCAGGAAACCGAAGATTTATCATTCGCCAAATTGGAAGCAAGAGTTCGGGAAGTTTTCAAGCTTCCAAGTGATGCTCAGCTGAAGATGACCTACAACGACAAAGAAGACGACGTTGTGACCTTGACGAACGACCATGAATTGCAGGACGCTTGTGTCACACAGGAGCTCAATCCTCTCCGTCTTCAAGTGGTCATTGTAGCCCCCAACATGACTGCAAGCGAACCACCCGCAGCTGGAAGTGGGCTGGCAGATAGTATTTTTGCTCAGACGCCAGAATCTGCGACAAAGCCTACAATCTCTGAGGACGGTGTAAGGAGAATTGTAGACTGCTATGCTCAACTTCTCGAGGGATTCTGTCCCCCGGGACAGATTTCTGATCTGCTAGATGTGATTGTGAAAAGGGTGGGTGCTCAGCTTTCAAATGTGACCGTGCAATCGAATGAAACTGCCACTCCATCAGCAGAACGAAGTGGATTGACTCCACAAGATTGGCTGAGGAGTCTCCCGACGTCCAAAGTTTCTTCTGAGGCTAAACAGCAGTATGAGGCCAGAGTTGGAAGTGGTGCAGCGACTGTTGCAGCTTTGGCGGAGTCCACCAACAAAGTTATCCACAGAGGTGTAACTTGCGATAGTTGTCACATGACTCCGATCAAAGGGATTCGGTTCAAAGCAATCAAGTAAGTTTGTCACGAGACACTTTGAAATGCATTGATGTGATCCTCATCACCTATGTGCTATGCTGATTTCGTAGATGAAATTTGAAATTCCAACGAAAGTCAGTTACTAATGTTTTCTTCGTCCATTCAGGAAATATAATTACGATCTTTGTGGTAGTTGCTTCGACAAGTCGGGAAATCCAGACGAGTACAATCGCATCGAACAGCCGTTATCACGACCTAAATGGGCAGGCCCTCCTGTGAGAATGGGCGACATCGATACCTACAAGGTGTTCAATCTTTGCTCGGTCAATACTGAAGACTCGAAAAATACGCTTTAGAAGGAATTGAGCACTACATGCTGCAGTTGTCACCAAAGTATTCGTATTCGGATGGATTCAAAATCTGACAAGTAAAACTATGCACAGGTGCACCTGACTCATCCAACTGTAAGCGGACTTACTGATTCAAGGTTATCATCTAAAGTTATCCTGGTACCTTGTAATCGTCGTCGGACGTTCTCTAGAAGCTGTTGATATCGGAATGAACAGCTTCAACTTGCAGAGAGATCTCAGATCTCAGGTTTTGCAATCTGAGAGAGGAGGTCAATGCTCGTCTCTGAGTACTCAAAATGCTCGGGCTGGATTTGTGTCTCCTGTAAGAAAGATGCGTAGCTATTGTCTTGAAAACTTAGTTACTCTCTTCTGTGAAATGATGTGAAATAAATGCTTGGCGCATATTCTGAGTCATCTACCTTGTACGAAAATTGTTTATGCTGCTCATGTCCGTCAACATCAGTCGAAAGTGTAAAGAAGTTTAAAAGACTAGCAATATCTTCATAAATTTTTACTCGATAATGACCGGTATAACTTTGTTTGGTTCACGGAATGATACTGCACACTCTATGATCATTAGTTACATGAAAGAACGTCTTGTTGAAATAAATATTCCCTGTAATTCATCGACAGAAGAGTTGACGTGACAATGTTATTAATCAGGTTCAAAATAGCTCTGGTATAATGAAGCTGACCTCGGACGAACTAATAAAAATTAGAGTGACATGTGGATCACTATTTTACGTTAGGATTGACACTTCAGTCAGTTCGCACCGCTTATTGAATTCCTCCCTTCTTGTTAACATAGTTATAGTGTTCCTAAAACAACTGATATAACACATCAGCCTTGTAAGCAACAACGAAATGGATTGGGGTTGAATATGTATACATATTCAAATTAAATTTCTACAGTGCATGCCAAAATGTCTCCAACAATCATTTTTCGGAGATTCTGAATCTTTTAGCCAACTCTTTGATAAAGTTGGCATAGACTCCGGATGATACGAACATCCGGAATGTTCGTATCATCCGGATGATACGAATAGATGTAACTCAATGCAAGAAGAATAAATTTGACCATAAATTTGGAGATCTTTGCGGAATTGTATACTTGTTGCTTCCGAGTCGCATCTAAGTCGACTAGATCTCAATACAAACAAAATCTGTAAAGCTACTGTTTTTTATTCTGGTGATTGCAGATAACAACTGGATTCATCTAAGATTGACAAATCAGAATCTCCTCGTAGTCCTGGCCGCCAATCAGGTGCCTTTGTTTGTTTCGTTTAACTTGATCATGCATGCCCATTGACTAAGACTCAAGCTCACATGTCATCCATTTCAGGAATTCTTATCTGTTTCACTGCATACACGAGTCGAGTTTTCATTCTAGAAGCAAGGAAGGATCAAGGCGAATTTCAAGGATTTCCACTATCATGGGTTGTTCAGCCATCAGGCTGATGTATTAAACTCATGGAAAGATCCTTAGGCATAACTTTTCTATTACCTTCGCTCATCCATGGCTAATCCATGCTTGCTCACCCCACAAAGCCGTCAGCTTAGATTGACAGCTGGCATGCCAACCCAAATCTTCAACGTTGGGAATGTCACCTTTCTTGCACCAGATATTCAAAGTTCAATAGCTAAAGCAGCTACTTGTCTCAAAAGAGTTCCATAGGGAATCTAACCGGAGATCACCTTCGTGGCAGTGTCTAGACAGATCAAGCCCCGTCAGTACCGTATAGTCCGAGACGGATAAGTTCTCCATTTCTTTCGACCTTCGGGCGGACTTTTAAGTAACATATTAACTGTACTCGATTTCGATTTATTGGATGAGGTTTTGCAACTTTACTACAGATTATGTACGAATTTTACGTTCCAGAATATTACATAATTGAAGTTATTTTATGTGTTTTAAGATGTGTTTCACATTTATGTTGACTTTTTATACTTAATTTTGTAGGGTGGATTTTGGAATTTAATTATGGTACTCGAAGAAGCACTTTCTGGGGCCTTTATTCAATTATTTGGTGGATAAGGGGGTCTTTGGTGGGCTTTCTAGTTACGAACAGTATTAAATCAATTTTGTCATCAGCTGAACAATGTCTCCTTTTGTATTTGCTCCTTTTTCAGCCCTTGCTTTGTACCCAGTTGCTGGTTTCCCAACCCGTTCTTATTCCATGTGTCCCCATTTCTTCTGTCAGGTATTTCTTATACTGTGTGGGTGACAAGTGACGACTCAATCACCTCAACACTTCCCCTTCACATTCTAAAGGATCCGTAACAACCAAGCAAGGCTGGTAGAACATAACAGAAAAGAGCTATGAGTATTAGAGTGAGAAAATCGAAGAAGAGTGAAGAAAGTCTGCAACATGGCACATGAAGACCAAAACAAAGTCTGCTCTTCCCAGCTTGACAAGAAAGGGGACCAAGGATGGATAAACCCCGTCAGCGATTACAAGAATGAAACCAAACGAGTAGCAGTAGCAATACAATGAGAGATAAATTCCATTACATCTAAGGTATACGAATTGTCTTAGTCAAAGTGGCTATCAGTAACACACATTACATGAAAACATCACCTAAAATGAGTGTAAGAAAACTAATTATTTCTTGAGAGCAATGAAAGCATGACGTTCCCTTTTCATTCTAAACTGAGGAAATCACATCTTTTAATCTGATTGGCACATGGGGCCTAGCCCCATGTCCCCATCGTGCATCCCGTTTATAAGTTTGTGATCCAATTGGCACCTGTTAAATAAGATGGAAGCCTCCGTCGGCTGCATAACAACGTTGAAGGAACCGAGGATTTATCAGTCGCCAAAGTAGAAGCAAGAGTTCAGTAGCTGTTTAAGCTGTCAGCGAGGTTCAGATTTAGATGAGCTACGAAGATAAAGGAGACGATATTGTGACCGGAACAATCGATCACGATTTGCACGACGCTTGTGTCACGGGGAAGCAGAATACTCTTCGTCTTCAAATGGTCGTTGTACCCCACAAGACTGCTGAGAGCGTAGTACCCACCGCTGGAAGTGAGACGGCAGATAAACCGGCTGCTCATATCGAGACAATTGATCTGCGACAAAACCTTCAACCCTGAGCATGGTGTGAAGAAAGTTATATTGTGCTATGCTCTAATTTGTCGAGGAATCTGTGTTCCCAGCAAGGTTCCTGATCTCGTCGACGTCATTTTGAAGAAAGTTGGCACGCAACTTTCAACCGTGGACCCTCAATCGAACGAAAAAGACTCATGCCGCAACTGATGCAGGGACCACACCTGTTGCACCTCCGGCAGAGACCACCAGCAAACTTAACAACAAAGGGGTCACTTACTACAGTTTTCACATCAGTACAGTTACAGGAATTCGATTCAAAGCCATGACGAAAGTTGGGTTACGCTATGGCGTGTTATGACTTGCTTACGCTATGGCGTGTTATGACTTGCTTTCATGCGCAATGCTGATGTTTGGAGCTGCATTCGAACAGGAGTTTTGAATTTCTCTGATTTTAAATACTTACGATTTTACATCGACTCAGAGAATGTTACAACAATGTTTGTGGTCGGTGCTTTGACAAATGGGGAAAAGCAGACGAGTAAAATCGCGTCCTGTAAGATTGACAAGACATCGAAACCTTAACGTACTTTTTATCCGGATATTGCTTGATCTTCACTCAGTACTCAGCAGATGTCGTTCATGAGATATTACCCACTACATGCTTCCTCCTGATTTGTAATTTGATCCTTATTAGACAATGCACAGACACTTTTATATTCATGCTCTATATCTTCTAATCTGTACACGTGAGTGGGAAGTTACATGTTCATGTTCTGATGAGTGAATATTTTTCTCTAGGTGCACCTGACTAGCACTTGACTACAGCAGATTGACTTACTCATTCATGTTTAAAATCTACACTTGTCTTTGCAGCTCATGGCGGTCTTTGCAAGTCCACAAGAAGCTGTCGATACCGCACCGCAACTTGCTTCTAACATATTTTCAGATTTGACTCGAGTCTCCAGGGTAGTATTTGCAATCTAGACGGGGATAAAATCTATCCACCTGACTCTGGAGTACTCAAAGAGGTCTGGGATGGACAACGTGCTAGCCGGGAAGAATCTAGTGTAAGTTTTGTTTTGGAATATCGTTCCTCTCCCCACTGTGATATGTTCTAAAATAATGATCGGCACAGCTTTTGAAAGTACCCACGCCTCAAGTGTTCACACTTATGTTTTGCCGTGAAGAAAATTGAGCTTCGTACATGATTCAAAGTTTTTATGTTTGTATTTTATGTCCTTGCAGTCAGACGATTACTCATCAGGAAGAAATCGGTTCTTGTCTCCAACCGACATACTGATCAATGCCATTCAATTTGATTTCGTGGTTGGTTCAGCTGACCAGCCATGAGACCAAACTTCGAGAATTGATGATCGACTCTGTGCTGCAACCAGTTATCTTTGCTTCAATGTCCACGAGAGAACAGTTTTTCGAGAAAAGTTCCAAACGTTGCATTCTGGAAAGTCTTCATTTGCTCGGATAACAGGAATACACACAAGTGCTGGTGACAATTTTGAACTGTTGATTTGATTTGACAGTACTAGGATATTTATCAATGGAAACCAAATCTCAAATTCAAGAGTGTACGTAACGATTTTCAATCATGATATGAGTTCAACTAGATTGACTTATACATGACCGTCAGCTAGGACCAGAACGTTTACCTTCTGTTTGGTGTGGTTGCTTCAGCGATCGTAGAGAACACGGTAGTTCGTAGCGATTCGGTCATTTCGACATAGACAAGTAAGATCTTCCTCGCCGGAAACTGCCTTCGTGGCAGCGGAGAGAGCGTTCGGATTCATGTCTATCATGCACGGCAATATGCGTCTGGCTCAAAATCCAGATTCCTTGACTTCCGTTTCTGTTACCGCAAATTTTTAATTAAGAAGCGACCTCACGGTGTTAACAAAGACGTGAACTTCAACAATTCAAATTTCAGACAACAAGAAGATCGACAACGAAATCATGAGCTGTGTTCCCATGAAAATCTCCCAGTAACTGATCAATCAGCCTAGATGAATACGATTATAGGATGCGATTAGCAGAGATATTCTCTACCAGAGTACCATGTTTCCATTACGCTCGATTGCCATAGTTTCAAGGTAAGGTTATTTAATTAAGCCTTAGACCTGTCAGCTCAAGTGGACAGCTGTTGGCGGTGAGCCAGTCTTCAACGTCAAGAAACTCGACGTGTCTCACCAGATATTAGGGCCTCTTCAGTAGTCCAAGAATAGATCTGAATTTGCAGAACTACCGCGGGAAAATTTATCTTGAATATTTACCTTGTTCGTCGATCGTAGACATGTCTAGCTCGATAAGTCCCAAGTTTGTCGTACTGTCTATGTCACAAGTGATGATGTGATGCGCACCCTTCCTCTTTATGTTTCAGCTTCAGAACTTGAATCATGTGGAGGAAGGGCCTAGAGTTTATGAAACAGGCAGAGGGTACTCGAACATACCAGAAGAGATCTCCAAACTTCGGAGTGACGATACTTGAAGAAGAAGAAGAAGAACAAGGAATATTTTCAGCGAGCGCTGGAGATATTCCTCTCAGGCAGGCACATGGAGACCGATATAAAGTCTGCGCTTCCCAGCTCTTCATTCATCACATTCTCACCTCGATTGTTTATTGATCAGCGCGGCTCACGGGAACGCGCAGTCACTGAAATCCTCTACAACTCAGCATCTCCTCGACAGTCAACAACAAGTGTATCAGTTCAACTCCTCATATCAGGACTCTTCCAGTGCGGCTTACCGGAACGCACAAGAAGCAAGAGGTCGCATCTACAATCATAACAGACATGGCCTACGTCATTAAGGTAAGCTTTCACAATTGTAGATTTTATGTAGCTCGCTGCGTGCATTTATCAATTTCGTGGAGGTTAAGTGCAGGAATCGGGGTCGTGATGTTAAGGCAGGTTGAGATTTAAGATTGTACCAGTTTGACTGCATCATATTACTTGTTCAGATGCCATGTTTCAGACATCAATATGTGTGAGAAACTGATGTATATTAGTGTTTGTGGGAGGTTGTCGCATAACTGTTTGATCTGCGTTTGGTGATGCTCTCCTGTTGGACGAATGTCAATTCGAATTCGAGGATTTGAAATCAGTTTTTATAATTGGAATTGGAATTTGGAATTTCAGGTGGAGTACGAAGGCAGTTTGCGTCGCATGCTCGCCAGCCGGGCGGAGAAGGAAGATTTATCTCTTACTAAAGTGGAGGCAAGAGTTCGGGATCTGTTCAAGCTCCCCGTCACGGCGCAGCTTAAGATGGCATATAAGGACAAGGACAACGATGTGATAACTGTGGGATGCGATCAAGATCTTACAGATGCCTGCGTCACCCAGAAGATTAACCCGCTATACATCCGCGTGGCGGTTGTGCCTGCTGAGGCTGCACAGAATATGGGCGCTAGCCCTCCTCCTCCCGTTACTTCTGCTGCTGCAACTGGAGTAAAGGATGCATCGTCGCAGGAACCAGTCAAAGATTCTTCCACGCCCGAGAAATCAACGAAAAAGACAGTGAAGATTGTCGATCCCGTTTTCCAGAGAATCATGCCTCCAAATCAGGTCCCTCAGATGATGGAGAACATTGTGAGGATGGTCACCTCACAGATGCAAGCTGGCAAAAAGATGGAAACCGATCCCAAGTCTGTGGGCCCTTCTCCACCGAATCAATCGACCGAGGTGAAGGACCCCACCGCAGCCGAGGAGAAGAAGACAGAAGATAAGTCGGAGGTCAACAAGCTCCATGCTACTCACAAGGGTGTTCGTTGCAACATCTGTCAGATGAATCCCATTGTGGGACCACGCTTCAAAGCTCTAAGGTGATGCCACATCCATGCAAGTGACTAGATCTTCAGAACATGACGGGCTAAACAATCTGTGAAGATTCTAACTTTCTCTTTTACAGCAAATAGGAAAATCTTGGAATCTAGTGACATTACTCATGCCTACGCCATTTATTTTCGACATGCAGGAAGCTCAACTACGACCTTTGTGGGCGCTGCTACACAAAAGCAGGAAATTCTAATGATTTTAAGCGCTTTGAACAGCCGGAAACTCCTCCCAATTGTGCAGGGACGAGTTCTATCAAACTGGTAAGTCTTTCATGACTGACTAAAACAGCATAGTGTCTATTCTGCAGATAGTATGATATCTGTATGGCTCCTTTGTAAATCTATTTGCAGTCAAGTGGTCTTCAAGTATCATGAGATTGTAAATCCTATTCTTGCAGTAATAATATCATCTTTAAACTTCAAAGGTTGTAGCAGAAGTTAACGCCTTAGTTTGGTATTGTGCAGGTCCGCATGTCTCCTGCAATTGCCGTTGTTCGGCCAATCGGTTTGGGTGCACCTGTGCTCGTGGTCCGCCATGGAGGTGCTCGCTGCAGCCAAGTGAAAACTTGCTGATGGCAAGTTGGGTAACAAACGTACCAGGGTCCGAGGTTTCTGGATACGGACCGTTGGTAGCTAAGCACATAGCTATATGAGATTGTTTATGTAGTTACTCGACCAGTTTGGTCCCCATAATCGGAGACTTACATGTCTTTGAAAATGGATCTGTATCAAAGATCGATGAGCCTCTGCTGGGGACAACACGGAATAAAAGCTGGTCGAAGGCACTATCCTTAGTCGGAAATTCACAACTCTCCTTGGATCTGAATCCCACTGTGTCTACATGTACCATTACCCTGTAAGAAGGTTTTAGCTTTCACATTCCGAAGATTTGAGTTGTAAAATCACGATATTAAATACTGTATCATATCATGCTGCAAAGCAAGGTTTTTCTGAAACTCCCTGTCGTTTTGACATCCTGAAAGCGGAGCAGGTAAGCCCAGACATTCTCTCGGACTCCGCTCTCGCTTTGCCTTGTCAAATATCTGGTGCTTCAAAAAGCTGACCTTGCAATTTAGAGACAATGGATCTATTACCGTCTGAGTGGCACAAAACTAGAGACAGAAAAATGTCATAAGATAGAAGAACAAAGAGGACTACACTGGTAGAAATTAGAATCCGTTCCCCAAAATTACAAGTGCGGCTATTATTCTTCTCGATTTTCATCTTTGGTATAAATGTCTTTGCAACATATTAATTTCAAATCATAAACCTTTTGGAAATCCAGAATCAGGATTTTACAAATATGGCCCAGCAAGTATTGAATACGGTAAAGCACACCAGCGATACATCTCGAAGACGCACGTTCCAACCTTCAGTGTTAAATGTCAAAGCAGTCGCCCTTCTGTAGGCAGCTAAACCGTATAACAGCATTAGTAATATTTGTCTCGCTTCACATATCTTTTTGCGCCGTTCATATAAATAATGTAAATCTATCCAAGGAAAAAATGATTAATATATCTGTTTCCACTTTCAACTGAAAATTCCACTTTTCGACTAAAAATGAATGAACACTGAAAGAACTATAGGAGCTAGAGAAGTAATGAAAGTATGGCCAAAGTGAACAAACGTTGAAAACTTTACCCATAGGTCAACTACATTTGATGCACCTGTATCGGAAACAACTTGTATAGCACATTTATCACTGTCATCTAACTTCCGAGCAATCAATGTAGAATGTGCTTCAAGTTGGAACCTTCACGTGACAATGGTGACGACTGGAATTTTTTACTCCGTGTTGACTGTTGTCATGTAATACTTATCATGCACTTGTCTTTTGCAAGTCTGTCAACGGAAAAAAATAAAATAAAGAAGGTACGGGTTACAGAATTTTACCTAGAAAAAAACTGATTATAAATACACCCTAGTAGTGATAACGTTCTGATGTAAAATTCGAAAAGTAGTTCAATTCTTGTTCTAGCTTAAAGGTTACAAAATGTATCACTTCTCTCTTTCCAGTTAATCCTTGAATTCCGTGATTCCCCATGAAATCTGAAACATGTGTTTTCATATCTGTAATCAAGCCTAAAAATCTTAAAATGCGTTTACTAAAACTCCCGTGTCTTCCAAAAGTGTGTGTGGTAACATATTTTTCGCAAGAAATTTAATTCCATCACATACTCTTTACTAGTGCTCGAAATGTTGAAGTTATCTATTATCTTCTTGACTTGGCGCTGGGGCTGGTTCTATAATTGCTTTTGATTTGTACTTTACTTGACGGGTTTTTACTCTTTCTTTTCACTCCGTGCGTGTCCTTTTCTTCTCTGCATTACGTTCAGACAATCCACTTTGTCCATGAGTTTATAGTCCTTATTGTCGGTGAAAGTCCCCAAGGTCTCGACAGAGCAACATATGCACAATAGAGGGCCAAGAAGGCAGGACGAGTCATCTACATCCATAAACATGAAGAGGAAGACCCACCAACGGCCAGCTGTTGGATCCTAGCTTTTGTTCGAGGCAAGCTTCAACGTCAAGGAACTTGGCGTGTCTTGTTGCAAAGTGAAGAGCAACTCGTAAACCCTGAAACTTACCTTGCCTCATATCAACAAAATTTACGAGTATGAGTTCTTCTGAGCGGGAGAAGACGATTTTGTCGTTCAGCGTAATTGAATAATAGTACGTTAAACATATCTTCTCCTTCTTCACCTTGCAATGTGTAGTCCGTCCGAGAAAAGTTGTCCATAATTCTGGAATGATGAAGAAACCCTGAACCTAATTTGCAGAAACAGCAGGTTGCATAGATACCCGATATCAAGCTCCTTGGTCCATCTTTTCCTCTTACCATAGTCTGTTTACTAGTCAGCGCCGCTCACGGGAACGCGCGTGTTACTGGAGTATTATTCTCGTTGTTGGTTGTGCACGTTATCGTTTCATTAGTATCGTCTGCAGCTCTGCTTTCTTCGGTGGAAACAGGTACTCAGGGATTAGATTTCGTATCTACATAGACACAAACATGGTTTATTTTATCAAGAGAACTGCTTTTATCATGTGAATCTAAACCCCGCTCAGATTTTAGTGTCTCATAAGTTCCATACGTATGCTTGAGCATCATCGAGTTGAAACTGAGGTCAGGATTAGTTTTTAGGAGAGTGGAGGTAAAATCAAAAACTTTGGACCAGAAGTTTCCTTATCTGTTACGTTGCGAGGTCCAAGCCTTGATTCATCTTGTTGTTCAACCTCTTAAGCTCTCAGATAGATTTCCCAAGGGGTTCATTTTGAGTTGGCAATGCTCACTCCAGCTGCATGAACAAATTTTGATACACCAGTGCGATCGTCTTACGGCATCATTTTGTCTTAACGAAATTTTTGGTCTTGCAGGACAGCACCATTGGATCTCTCGATCTATTAAATCTATCTCTGGGGATCCAAGGGGAAAAATAAACTGAATCTGCCGCTTCATTTTTGTAGACTCTGGTGTATCTGCCACAAAGTTTCATCGGAGAAACTATTAAACAACATTGTGTCATAAGGTCGACTAACGAGGATATACGCTGACTCCTTTCCAGCCATGTTGAGAAGGAATATTCATTTTTTGTTATCGTTCAAGCACGGATCCACGATCTTTTCAAGCTCCACCCGAGCACTGCACAAATTGAGATAGAAAGATAAGGATATCAGGATTGTTGCAGACGATAAAGATCTTACAAATGGCTGCATCACGCAGAAGATGAAGCCGTTTTACGCTTTTCCAACCCTCCTCCCCTCCAAGGCTCCATAATACTGCAGCATTGAGCCAGCTACTCCTACTACAGCAGTGAAGCTTGCTATCACTGGAGAAGCTGCTACGGGTTCCTCCAGTCTCTGAAGTAAATGCAAAGGAACGAGAAATCCCTCGATCGTGTTTTCTTCACAGTTCTGCGTCCATATCAGATTTCCCGAATGGTGACAGATCATCATTCGGATGAGATCTGCTAGTGTAATCGTTTGAGCTCTATCTCGTCATCTCCACGAAATCTTTCCGGCAGGATCAACGAGCCCATCAAGGGTTATGCAACAAATATAATCAATGAAGAGGAAGTAAACGAGAGGAATTCCAAGAAGATGGAAGCAAAATGATTGGATAGCAGTGTGGTTGCTCAGAAGGTGCTGGTTGTGGCGTATGTCCGATGATTCCCATCGCAGGACCGTGCTTCTAGGCACTCAGGTATGAACACTTACTTGAAACGATCACTGTTTAGGACGGGGAGTTTCTTCTCCTTATTGAAATACAGTGTTCCTTCAAGTGATTCGTTCAGAACTAGAATGACCCATGTACTCAAAGAATAACTTATTTTCTCCTTTTTTTTGTCTCAACGACGCTCTTTGCTCGATGACGATTTTTGCTTTTGTCTGTACACAGAAGAGGGGGGAATATAATGACTGAAAGTGTCGCAAACAGCTGGGAACTCCCCTGGCTCTGCACAGACGAGATGTATCAAGCTCATAGGTCTATATTCGTACATGAATTAATCAATACTAGCGCATCTGCATAAGTAAGGCTTTTTATATTCTTTAAGTCGACCGTCAGTCATGTGCATTGTCCTTTCCATGATAAGTTCACACTTTGACTCCTGGATCTCCATCAAGACGGTGTAGCCGATATCGTTAGTATCTTTCTGATCAATAATCATCACTGAATATTATATTAGGCGAGTCATTCTACACTAGGAGATGGATAGGATTGTACGGGTTGACATATGCTTATATCTGACTTGCTCTAGACACTGTTCTGGTTTCTTTACTTCCATGTGTCTGTCATGGAGACCGTAGACATTCAATGTAATATATCAATTTAGTGTTATAGGTCTCGTTCTCAAGACAAAGCTCAAATTCTAGGAGCCTTAGCTGACGCAGATGTGCAATGTACACAGGTGAGCTTGTCTCCAATTTTCTCTACCAATATTGCTACTGATTGGTCACCAAATTTGGTCCTTTTACTGTTCGCGTCAGTCGAGCGACAAGCTGTTCAAGGATTGTTGCTTCAAATGGTTTTACATAACGGCCCTTGTGAAGCTTCCAATGTATATAAGGAATATGTGATCTCTGTCTCCTCCAGTGACGCGCTTATCCATGTTCTGTGCACTATTTCAGGCTATCGTTACAGGACCTTGAGATGAGCAGATTATGACTTTAATACTGAATGATATCATAATATAAAATATTTCGTATAATGTGATCATTATGGACCGAAGTTTTGGACTGCTAGAAAATAAGAGTCTTTCGACGCACAATCTATCAGTTTAACTGTAGAGTGTATAGTCACTTTCTGCAGAGCCTTTAGAGAAGAGTTCGAGACTGTTTAAAGAAACGCAAATTATCCTATCTACAAAAACACATACTAAAATACCCTAAATTGATGCTCTTAGGTCTCCAATCCTAGAAGACATAAGCTTAGAAGTCTCTGCAATAGACAAAACAAACACGATCTCAGCAGTGAATTGGATTCTGGGAATCAAAATAGAAGTTGACGCAGTAGACAGATCGAACATGTAAGTTGGAATGACCTGGATTCTGTAGGTATTTCAAATGAATTCAACTTTACATGTTTCATTCATGGGATTATACGTTTTTAAAAAGTGTAATATTATTACTTATTTTCGATTCTTTTATTTGTCAAACCAAGCTCATTGTGCTGGTATTGTTGATTTTTTACGTCCAGTCGGCTTGCAGATCCGAATCACTATGTTTGTTTAACCAGGCTCCAGTTTGTTTGACTAGGGAAGTTACTCTCTAATTTTGTCTCACATATGAGATAAAGGTCATGGCAAGATAGCATTGCATTTTATTTCTGATAGATATTTTATCTAATTTTAAAATGCTTGTATCTCAGATACAAGCATTTTACCGTGTATTGATGTCCGTTATAATGTGTGTGTCTGTCTCTCCATGCCGATGGAGTCAAAAGGGAAGTTCAGGAGGTAAATTCCTTCCTCCAAAGAAGGAAACGCTTCGTTCTTTAGGTCAGATTTCATCTTTCTCTTCATATATCTGAACTTATTAGAAGATCTACTGGATGAAGATGACGCGGAAGTCTCCTATGGGAGTGGTTCTAAAAGCAGTA